CTGCACGCTCTGTATCCATGAGAAGCATCTTAGAAGCATCTTTCACCTCTTTTTTTTTTTTTTTAATCCATTTTTTTTTTACTGTATACTTTGGGAAAGCAGATGAAGCAAGATCCAAATACACGAATAAAGCATGTATATAACTGAGAGGAAAAGCAGAGATATTGTTAAGGCAAAAGATTTTTCCTGAAACTTAATGATATTTGCATTCCCCAAAGGAAAAGATAATTATTTTTTTTCCAGGCCTTTTAATCCCTCTTTCTCTTGTATTTTTCTGAAATATTTTTCATATACCTCGAGTGGAAGCCTTTGGGAAGCGTTTGGCAGCTGAATCCCCTCCCCATGAGCTAATCCCTTAGGAGAAGTGACTTGATCTTTTGAATATGTGTGTGTCTGTGGGGTGGCGGGGAAAATGCTTTGTAGTTTCTACGTATGGTACTCTGAAATAGAGGTATTTCTCTTCTCCAGTGATTTGAAGTGCTTGCTGATAGCAAAACACCAAGTAATTTTTAAATTACTCCACAAGATTGTATTTCTTTCCGTCTAGCATTGTCTTCATCATTGTATTCTGCTACAATAATTTTTTCTTTTTGTTTGTTAACCAAATTGTTTTCTCTTTTCCTGTCATTAACTGTAGGGTTTTTTATTGTTATTTTTTCCTCCCAAAGCAGAAGTAGGAGAAGGAAGTATGTGGACTTTCACTCCCTTTAAACTATTGCTTACTTGAAACTTTTATTTATTGTTTATAGTTTACATTAATAAGATTTGACTGCATCTAACTGTTGTAATTTGGACAAATACCTGCACTGCTTTCCTCTCACTGTCATTTACTGCTGATAATGCATTACTAAAATGCTATTAACAGAGAGACCTGCACAAATGAAATGAGACTTTGGCAGGGAGCAAGGAAATGTGTCTGTACATATTTAATGGTGAATCCACTATCAAGTTGAATCAAATTGAAATTAAAATAAGAAATACTTATTTTTTTCTTTTTTGCAGAATTTTGGTAGCATGTTGCTGTTAAAAATCTTACTTTTTAATTTTTTTTTTGTGTCAATAGCTGTTGTGATTCTGAGAATAATCTGTACAAGCTTTCAAGAATGAACTATTGTAATCTTTGGTTTATCTGAGCTATGCGATGGGAAACTGTGATGGGAAGCCTGAAAACCAGACCATACTTAAATGCCACCAAACATCAGCTTTATCCTTTCAAGGACTTTCTGGGGCTCAGTAGCTGTAGGCTCCTTCTTGGGAGTCATGTGCTGGTCATACGCTTTGGTCTGCCAAATCTGAGGAGTCCCAAGGCCCAGATTCACGGTGGATTGAGCATTCCCTTTTACTAAGGCTCTGCATTTGAGAGGAGTTAGGCTTGTGGTTTCTTTTCTCTGTCTTGTATTAGTTAAATCAAATGCTTTGCTGAAGTTCGTAGATCAGTTGTTCTGTACTTGAATTTAGTTGCTCTGAGAAATAGACAAATCTAAATCTAACTAAAACTGTCAAACTCTTGAGTTTGAAAGTTTGAGCGTTTAAAAAGGTCTTTTGTGCAGTGTTTTGCCAGCAAATCCTGTACTTCAGGAAGAAGAGTACAGGAGAAGGGCTAAGACTTCCTCGGGCAGCCTCAAGATTTGCAGTCTCACAGGCAAATGAACTGATATTAATCAAAACTTGCAGAAAACTGTGCTCCCTTTTGGGAGGGGAGGAGGGGGCTGAATTAATGGTGAGGCCATTGAGAAGTTGGTCCGGGCTGGATGTGTGGACTCCTCATAGACTGAGGAGAGGAAAAAGCTCATGGAGAAGAAGATCTTGATACAACGTCACTCCATTTTGTGCAACTTTACTGTGAGTTAAGCTGATTGTTTTTCTTGTTTTGCTTAGTTTAAATGTTTTCTATTTAATTCCTGACTTTTTTTTCCCTAATCTTAAACCGAGGCCTTTTCTTCCTCTGTACTCCTGATATGCAGTGCTTTTCCCTATTTTGCATTGGCCATGGTGCTTATTAGGGTTTTTGCTAACCTGTTTCGGCAAACTAAACTAGTAAGAGAACAATTTTTATTTTTTTTCCAATTTAGTTCTTGGTGATTTAGCTGATTTGACTTGCCACAGTGCAAAAATCACTGGAGTCATGCAAGAGTAGCAGTAGAGGAAAATAGTACAGCAGAAGGTAGTCGTGCCATAGCAAAGCTTCTGAGAGGAGACGTGGAGATAGTTTTCCTGCCTGTCAGCTTTAGTTCAGATATGCTCATCGTTCAAGAACATGACTTCAAAGCTTGGGGCAAAAGCTTGCTCAGCTTCTGCATCGAGTACGTAATGAGAATTTGAAGGTCCGAAAAACGCTGGACATAAAAATTTGTTTTAGAATAAAATTACAGTTGTTACAAGTGATATTTTAAGACACCTGCTGTTTTTTGAGTGTCTCAGGATGTGAAAAGGGAACTACTATTGATTCTATGAATGTAGACAACAATAGGGTAATGTACATGACTTCCTGTCCTATTGCAAATGCAAGCCTAGGCTTGCATAGTGGTTGTCAAATAAAGCACAGGTGATGTAATCCCTATTTTGTATTTGCAAAAGAAGTCTGGTTGTATTTTGCCAGATGCAGAGCAAAAAAGTATCTGAACTCACAGGCATAGCAGGCTGCTCATACCTATTCGATTCAAACTGTTCATGACATTAATGTAAAATGGCATATTTGCATGGGTTTAGTTTATTTTCATATTGCTGGATGCTTGCACTGATAGGCCTAGGTGTGTTCCACTTTCTTATTCCTAGAAGGGTTTCCTTAAACGTTTCCAAGAACTCTGAGTAAATGGGGCTTCGTTAACTGCTACCTCTTGACAGACCCTTTGACCTTCTGCAGTGGAGCCGTTTTGGCCTCCTTGCAGTTTTGAGGCGTACAAGCAAGCACACGTTTTCCCCAGAAATGGCTTAGCCCATTCTGCCAGGCTGCCATTTGCTCACAAACAGCATTCATGTTCTTGCACATTAAGGAAATCAAGAGTCTCAGAATAATTTCCTCTGGCTGATCATAACAAAGTAGCAATTAAGTGAAAGTGCTCAAAATCAAGTGAAAAATAAAGGCTTAGAATTAACAATGTCAAAACCATCCAAACTATGAACTGCTGTTTTATCAAGTACTTCTAGGTATGATAAATACTTTAAACCACAAAAGTCTCTTGAATTTTTCTGTCTCCATGACTGTAGGCAGTCTGCTTTATATTATAATAGTTATGGATGAGTTCATGGCATTTGTAATCAAAACCACAAATTATTTTTTGGAGAGAGTTGGTTTGTTACCCTGCAAGCTGCAAAGGCTGGAGAGGCATCAATAGCTATTAGATCTCTACAAAGCAAGATGCAGGTCTTGTGCCTATGTGTATTCCACTATAACATCATTATGTGACTATTTTCTCCAGATTTACTCTAAAACCAATTATTTAAGAGGAGATCTTAATTTTAAATACACCATTTATCTTTAAATACATTGTCTGTTTCAACTTTATTTTTCACTCAGTACATTTCGATGCGCTATTTTTATATGAATTTCAAGGAGAAATAATATATGTAAAGGTGATCACTTAATCCAGATAATTCAGTCCTCTCTTTAAGAGAAGCTGCAAACTGCAGGGACCATTTTCAAATGCAAATCTTAAAGTCCATATTTGTGTATACTTGCATTTATGATATGTTTATTACTATCTAAAATGGAGTGCGTTTTTAATAAAAAGTTGATTTAAAGTGCAGGAGGCACAGATGTGTACAAGTAGCAGTACTGTTTCACAGCTGACTGGAGATGTTCAGAAGAGCATTTTTCCTAGCTGCATTTTTGTAAGAAGTCAGGTGGGGACATTGTTTTTCAGTAGCTGCTCAGAAATTAAAAGAATCTGTAGGAGCAACTATTTTTCAGCAATAATAGCTTGCTGGCTTCACTCAGCCTGAAGAGTTGGAGGCTTACTGCAGTGAAAATATTAAGGCTTTCTGCTGATGCCTTATAATTAGAATGGAGGTTGGTCTTGCAGACCAGCTTATTTAAAACTGCAAATAGAAATAAATTATATATAGTAAATATTCTTGATTATCCTTTGTGTAAAGCGGGGCAGTGAGGGAATTATTAGAAATCAGCTGATGTGTAAATGTGTGAAGATCATGGTATAGACTTTCATAATACTTGTAAAATCTGATATTTCATGTATAAAACGTAATGTTTAATTTAGAATGAGGTGGGAATATTTGTTTCTTATAAAGATACCAAGGATATTTTTTCTTGACAAGAAAAATTAAAATTTAAACAAGAAAAAATCTTCAGTTCCTCCAGTTTTGTGTGGTAGCTTTTAAGATAATCACAAGATGATGTTAGTAGTTATATATGAAACAATCACCTGTTCGTCTGTTACTGTGTTTCAACAACCAAAATAGCTTTTTCCTTTAGCTAGAGCTGAGTGCAGGCAGAAACGTAGCCTTGCCGTGGCACTTCATAGAGTTTAAGGCAGTCTAAAATCTGCCATTTGAATGGTCCTATTAATTTCAATTGGCCCCTGACAACAAAGTGTTAAAATTACAATTCAGCTTTTAGTGCTGTCCCTTTTGAACACTTGAGTAACTGAATGGCTCTATCTGTTTATGTAACTTGCTGTCTCATGAATTGTACTCCTGCCACTAAGGGGAAAATTAAAAGAGAAAATAGTCTTTCAAGTTGATGTCATTACATGTGTTTTAATTTGTACAATTTATTTACATGCAGGATTGTAACATATTGTGTTTGTATGTAAAATATTTCACCTTTTTCTAGACTTATTATTGTTAGACTTGTTATGGGGTGTTTATGCCTTCAAAGTTCTGGGTAAGGTGACTGGTAATGTCACCACAGCCTGATGCTTTAACTTTATGTCCTGGGAATGCAGTTATAATTGTATAACCAGAGTGCTAAATCATAGTAGCATATGTATCGAGTGGTACTTAATGCTCATTACTTCTTCCTTTTTTTCCCTCAACTGTAGGTTGTTTTCAGGTGGTGGAGAATCTCTCTGAGGAATGAATGTCGTGAAGCAAGACCTGGAGAAATTAAAGAATCCCATGAGGATTTTTTGGATGATTCATCTCTTCAGAGTAAGTTGATAAAGTAATTACGTATTTGCTGTGATATATAATGAAATATTCCAGAAATATTCATCTGTAATAATTTTCATAAAAAGATATGGGACTTTTTTTACTTATCAGACTTTCATATACCAATTTGCTAATGTGAATTAATGGATGCCTACTGGAAAAACAAAAAGGCACAATAGTAACTGTGAATATGGGATAAATCTCAGCAATCCTGATAGATTCATTATAAGAAGAGATAGTAGTGACAGTGACTATAACAAGAGTTAGTAGTGACAGAAGAGACCAGAAAAGAGTATTATCATTGTCGATAACTAAATAATGCCTTGTAATGCTCTGTGCTGTACCAGCACTATTATCTTTATGGCCGTGTCATGAGACATGTTGGATTCCCATTTGACTTAACACAAGCAATATGCAAAGGGATGGTGTATAGGAATGCTTGCTAAAATGTTTCAAAGAGTTAAATTAGAGCTTACGTGCCCAGTTTTGTACCATTATCCTGTGTGTTTCTAGCAAACTACAAATAAGATCTGCCTGTTTTTTCTTGAGAAGTGTAATTTGTGGTTCTGAGGTTTCCTATCTCGTTGGAGCTATGGAAAGTCACGGTCTCTTCCTCATTTTCAGTTGTTTTTTCCTTCTTCCAAAAGAAGTCTTCTGTCTGTATCTCTAACTGTTCTGCACAAGCACTCAGATGCTTTTAATATCACCTTTCAACTCCTGTTACAGAAGCCATGCTACAAGTATTCATAGGTACTTTTTTCCAAAAATTTCAAAAAACACTTAATGATAATACTAAATGTATTATTCTAAAATTTATGTCAAAGTAGGATTCAAATACAATAACTCTCACTGGACCCATGGTTTGCTGCTAAATAGTTAGTATACTCTTACAAGCTAAAGGTTTATCTAGTATTAAGTATTAGTATTTCCTTTTCTCATTTCCTGGAATTGATTTTTGGGGATTTTTGTCATGATGTGCTGGAGACTTCTACAGAGAAAGTGTTGCAGAACAAGTCTCAAGAAAATCTCAAGTTGCAGCAAATATTCACATGGTAGTTTGCTTAATAGTTTGCAAATTATGAACATGGCTGTTATTCCTAGTGTGCTAAGAGTTGGATCAGTGATTAAAAGCATATCTGATTGAATTCAAGATCCTACTCTGTAATGAATGAGTGCTTTTATTAAAGCATATTGATGATACAGATGAACGAGCTAAAGAAATCTTGGTAAATTCAAAAGCCCAAGTTCCCAGTTCAAGATTGAAGCAGAAATAATCAATCAGGTAGATGGTGGATGGGGAATAGCTCACTAAGTAGCGGATCTATGGAAAAGAATGTGGAGTTGTAATGGGTCACAAAGTGGCTGAGTCACAGAATGCCTTGCACTGTGGCAGATAACTCTCTTCAGTTAAACCACTGAAATTAATTTGAACCCACATAAGGTAAGAAGCAGAACTAGAGGGCCTCTGGCCATTATGGCTGTTATTTTTCCTATAGTATGCAACTGAATTGCTTTTCTGGTTGTTTTTCTAACTTTCTCTTGAATATGTAGCACAGCTTATTTTAAAAAAAAATCTGGACAAGTTTTAGTTCAAATCTGCTGCTTTTTCTCTTTCTCAGCTGAGACAAGTTTGATCTATACCAGACACTGTACAATTCTTAATTATAATCTGCTTTTACTCGGATGTCTCTGGTCTGAGCACTTATATATATAATATATAGTATTATAGTATAGCAATATATAATAATATTATATATTATTATTGGGAAGAAATTTCAGGCTTTTATAAATCTGTTTGTTTGGATTTCTTTTAATCACAGTTCAAATTGCTATAATATTTGGTGCCAAAGTTCTGGAACATGTCCTCAATCTGTGCCGAGGTAAATTTGACTTCCTGGAGCGGCTTCCTGTCCCACTGCTCCTGTACATCATTTCCTTTCTGGAGCTCGAAGATATTGCCAGGCTTTCTCAAGTTTCACACAGATTAAAAATGGTAAAAAAAAAAAAAAATAAATAAAACAAAACTTAAATTATTTTAATTTCTAATTTTGCTTTGTAGCATGCTGTCTTGAATTCATCTTACATTTAACATAATCGTTGTCTGCTTTACTTTGAGCTTGTGGCTATAGAGCAATCATCTCTCTACAAACTGCTAAATGTGTGTGCAACAAAAGTAGATCTTGGGCTGTTGGTCAGAGAAACTCTGATCTCCTGCTGTCTTTTGTTGTGTGTGATAAATGCAACTTATCCAGATAATCCTAGCATACCTGATTCAGGGGTGCTGTGGCCAACAATCTTTTTTTTTTTTTTTTTTTTAAACCTTTGTGTATGTGTTTGTCAGTGGTATTAGCACAATAGCAATCAAAAATTGCCAAGTTTCCTTTTTGTAGACCTTGCAGCAGAGAGTTTTGAGAAACAAAAAATTTGTTTCTAAAACAAACGGATGCTTACTAGACAACTTTCTAAGCCTCAGGAACGTATAGAAAAGAGGGTGAATGTGCTCAAGTGAAAATTTAACCAATGGATAATGGAAGTTGGGCTGCTGAGTGATCAGAGGTAAGAGTAGCCTCTCCGTACTGAATGAGGGCTAACAAATAGGGAAAGGATTGCCTGAAGTCCCTTGTGGGTGAGGACCAGGCAGTAGGTGCAAAAAGGAGAACGTGATGGGGTAACTGAGGTTGGAAGAGCCCTTGGGAGGCAAGTCATTTCCAACACTCGGCTCACTGCAGGGTCAGCTCACTGGAAAGACAGGAAGGGATAATGCACACCATGGCTATGATCAAGGAAAATTATTTTTGCAGCTGTGTGCTGAATACCTCAGAACTGCATTTTCTGTTCCAGTCAGAGCAAGAGGAAAGACTGTTGTAGTAATTCAGGCACAAATAAAGGGTTTTAGCTTATGAACAGTAGGATGATAAGCATTATTAAAGAGAAACCTAGGAACCTAGAATGAAGTCTGTCAAGTTGTGGATTTTATAGTGAAAACTTTGTAATGTTAAGACCTTAGGGTGGAGTGGTTTGCTCCAATCCATCCAGTATAACATTCATATTTTCAAATAGAGGCAAGTAGTATATTGAAGTTATATTAGTATTCAGGCAGATTTTGAACATTTAAAGCAATTAAAGGAGCACTGAAGATGGGAAATAGAGGGAGGAAGTTCTGGAGGTTTGTTCCCCCATGCACGGGCCCGGCTGGGGCTGGGTCTGCCTCTTGCCTCCTCGCAGCTGGCAGGGCCCGAGCAGCAGTTCGGGGAGCCGCCCCGCCGGCTCTGCCCGCGCTGCCGAGCCCCGGCACGGGCTGGCATCTGGTGCCGTCTTTGTGCTCAGGACTGAGGAGCAGGGCGGCCAAGGACTGTGCTTCTGACCTGCGCTCTGTGCCTGCCTGCACTGAGCAAGACAGAAACCTTTAGTACACAAGGCAGGGCATTAGTGTTTCTCTCACTGTGCACGACACATATTGAAGGGATCTGAATAAGCAGATTTGAAGCTTTTTAGGTTTTCATGGGGTGCAGCTTTTAAATGTTACAAAAGAAGCTGTTCTTCAAGAAGAAACAATTGACAGACGCTCTAACCTGGAGAGTTATGCAAGCACTGCATGTGCATTGGCAGTACGTTTTCAGCAAGCTCTTACCTTGTGATATCCCCCAACCCAAGTTTGGTACAGGGTTCTCTTGGTTTTTATTGTTCAAGATCTTTGCCTTTTTCTAAAAGCAAAATTATTTTCAAAAAAAAAAAAAAAAAAAAAAAAAAAAAAAAAAAAAAAAAGAAGCTTCTATCTAGGCTCTAGAAGAAGCTGCTCCCACCAGAGGGAGCCAAGTTTCCGACGCTGATGTGAGAAGGAGCCTTTTTGAGGCAGCGGATGCAGGTGCCCTGGGCCCTGGCTGGGCCTGCCCTCCTTAAAATTCAATGAGAGTGGAAATAGGACTGTGTTCTGATGAAATCCTGCTGCAGTCAGTGAATGAAAAGGTTCAAAGTATCCAGTTGTGGAAAGGGGAACTAATATATGGCTCATGTATCAGCAATTTCAATTGCCACAGGTGGGAAGACATAAAAATAGAAGCTACAAGGACTTTTGTATTTCTGTGTTCATTACTAACTATAAAGGACAAAGCTGTCACTTGCATTGGAGTAATCTAGTACAACTCCCACTTAAATGAGTGCAATTAAGTCTTTAAAAAAAATGGAGCATTTAGGAGAAGAATCAATGTTAATAGGTCATGGTGTCACTTATAATGATCAGATAATATATATAATTATGCAATCTATTTTTCTAATCTTCTTTGTAATCCATGTGTGTTAGCTAATTATCATATCACTTTATTATTTCTAACATGATATTTCCACCTCTTTCTATTTATGAAGGCACTCATTAAGAAAGAAGCCTCTGCTGAGAAAGGCTTAATCACTCCAGTGCTTCTGAGAGCTTAATGAAATCATGTTTCTGATTTAAAAAAATGTGTTGCTATTGTATCTGTGTATGTATTGTAAAAATGCAAGCTTTTGCTCAACTCCAGAGGCAACAGTGAACTGTACCATGAACATGAAACTATTGGACTGTGGTTGTATTGGCAACATTGGGGAAAAAAACTTCCACTGATACCAATGCAGGCTTCAGCTAACACTGTGACTTTCAAGATAGTAGGTGGAGAGCTTAACTTCATTACATGATGGTTGTGTTGTCTACTCACGCTTCATGCAAGCAAAATGATCAGTGAGCAATGAATACTTGCATATGATGATTTTTAAGCCTCTACTTTCTCTTATAACTAGATATGTAACAGTAACGCACTATGGGAAGGTATTGTGGAGAACTTGTGTGACACAATTACACCTGAAATGAGAGACCTGGCACAGGAAATGGGCTGGAAACAACTCTTCTTCACAAACAGACTGCAGCTGCAGCTGCAGCTCCGAAGGAGGCGACAGAAACATGCAGAAAAGGAAAAGCTAACTGAATAAAGATGCATGTTTTTCATTGAGGCAACTGTTCTAATGTGTGGATTTGTTGCTTTTCAGGTCATTCTGTATATTTTTTTGGCTGGGGAAAGTAAATTAATCAAAAGATTAAAAGAATAAAATTATTTCTAATACAGGCAACATGTAAAATAATCTCTAGTATTTTGGGCCTCTTAAAATTGAATTATATTCAGCATCTAAACAATTCCTCAGAATATTTAATAATTCTGGCTTCTTTGTACTTTTTTTTGATTTACAGATTTTGTATGTGTACTATATTAGCAAGCTATGTCCATGTTTGTTTGCTAATAAATGCTATGGCATTGTCAGCCTTGCCTTTAAAGAATAGGGAAGAAAACTATTGCTTCCTTCTTCAAGAGTTGCTGATGAATGCTGAAAATTTACTATCCTTCACACAATTTTCTTGGTATATAGGCAACTAACATATGCCCAGTTCCAGCTTGATGTGTGTTAAAATGTTTTTAAATTAATTCAAGCAAATTGTCACTTTGTTACCAAGAAGAAAATTCTTTGGTTACTGAGGATGTGAATTAGACATTCGTCTTTGTCTTGAGTTATCCATCAAAATCATATTTAAGGCAGACTGTTGGAAGTGGGTATAGGCAAAAATTTCCTTGTTGTTGCTGATGAAGGGACTTAGTAAAGCAGTTAACTTCCATGACTAGAGTTCTGTATTTGATAAGTGCTGTTTTGTGCATCCATAACAGTAGTTTCTTAAGTGAGTTGTAAAACAAAGGCAGTTCTTGCTAACATTTTTAAGATACTTTAACAATAAAATTGAGTAATTAGAGGTCAATTATTACTTCTCTGAAAGCGCGGATTGATTAATTTACCATTGACTGGACATGAGACCTGAGCATTAAAAATGGTGATGTCAATAATATCTGGTAGGTGTATTCAACTTGGCCTGAATTTGCTTAGGCTGCCTACCTAAGATCTACAAGATAAAACACTCTAGTTTTTTAAAATTATGTAAATGATTAGGCCTGTATTCAAAATCATAAACACTAGAATAATTATGTGTACATCACTGACAGTGACACACTGATCAATTATTGATTCTATACCATAGAATCAATATATATGCATTTATGTGTCATAAATACGTATATACAAACATACTGATTGAAGCATCATTAAGTGACCAATAAATAGCATTGACTTTCTTCAGCTTGACTCATTTTTTTTATCAGTGCTTTGGGGAACTTTTAGTGCTTTTTTTGAGTGTTGCTGTTTTGCTTGCTTTTTATGCACATTTTGTAAAGCTCTTTTCCCAGCAAAAATGGTAATGCTTATTTTTATGTAATACCTTTTTTTTTTTTTTTTAACATATTTTTTTGTCCCCTAGGCATGTATTCAGAACAATACCAGTATTCAGGCCAGTAACAAACAAATGTCTATTTAAATTATACGCTGCATATGCGATACAGAAATAGACCTTTTAGACTACTATGACTTTATAAGTTAGTTTATAATTCAGTTGTTCCATTTAGTCAGGAATATTCTTCCTGCTTGTTCTGCATAGCTCCCAAGGTTTTACCTGAAAATGTTGCTTTTGACATATTCCATTCATATCTTTGAAGCAGATGCAGTTAAGGTTAATCCCTTACATTCACTGCTGGGGGTTCTGTGACATTTAAGTAAACAATTTTTAAGCATCAAGAATCAAATATTAATTTTGATAAATAAGTTAAACTGTAAATACATAAAAGCATAGCCGTATTTCTTTTCTTTTGAATATTTCCTTTTAGACCAATGACAAATGCCAATTTTCTTGCAGATATAAAAAAAAATATTCATCAAATTTCTGTTCTGTGCAATAAAACACTGTAAACTGTAGGGGGGGTTACATGCTTCTGAACAAAGCTACTGAACAAGACATTCTTTTCTCACTTTCTGTCAATGTACCACAAGTTTGTGTTCTCATAACTAATTTGGGCTGTTCCAGGTTAGGAAACTGGAACCATGCCCATCACTATGGCCTGATTGAATATTAATTGAAATTTCTGTTATCACTCTTTTGTAACCCTACCTTCCCCATTTCCTTCACCAACTATCTTGCTGTCCCTTCTGTTAGAAGAAATGAGAATAATCATTTTATAGCGCAATTTTTTTTTTTAAGTTTAAAAAATGAACAGAATGCTCATGGCAAATGAACAGAAAGTGAAATTGCAGGTCATGTAAGTTTATTCCCAGTATACAACCCAGCAAGGAGATATATTGCAGATATCGTTAAGAGAACAAAGTACTCATTATAGTAATATGTACATAAAATTGCTTTTGACAAAAGAGGAAGTGAAGTTCTAAATATAAAGAGCACATATCTCTCAAAGCAGAGGAAGAAAATTGTTGCAAATCATCACTTTGTTGTGTGTATTTAAATATATATAAATGTTTCACCAGTAAAGGATGCTTCAGTTAAAATCTAGTAGCAACGTTCCCACCAAGAAGACATTAAACTTGTAACTAAAGACCTGATGTCAGTGTCATGTACATGGCATGAATATTTTCTCCAGCAACAAAACTGATTTTAAGAAATTACTGTTTCCTTGTTTATGCTGCTCATGGCAATTCAATACCATCTCAGTTGTTTTAAGATTAATTTTGAGGGTCATACATACTATACTGTGTCACTAAACTGGTGTAGGTTTTGCAGCATTGCAGGGTTCTCATAAGATTTTCCTTTATAACTTGACTTATTTCAGTGATCTACTTTAAAGCATGCCCCTGCCAGCAGTTGTAGAACTACAAAACTAAGAACCTGGTGTGTTACAGTTGGAACAAGTCAAGTCAAGGTTGAGAGCCTGTTAATCGGCCTTTCGGCTATAATCATCCTACTTGAACTGCCTGCCAATAGCTATTGCATTTATTTGAAGAGTATTAACTCTTTTTGCAGAATTTCAGCAGTTTATAGCAGTATTAAACTAAAAAACCCAGGTTATCAACAAAATAACTTTCATAAGGCGAACATAACAAAAAGAACTATCAAGTCATTTTATCTGATATAGGAAAATTAACATCAGCTTAATCTCCCAAAGCTGAGAAAGGTAGGTTTTATAGCATTGTACAACACATTCCATGCTGATCATCTGGTGAGTAGTGTTTAGGACAATTCATTTAAATGTTTTAAATGTTCTTTAGCTTTTCCTACTTTGAATTATCTAATTCTCAAGCAAGTAAATGTTAAAGTGACTAATCTTAGCCAGGTCATGCTGTACTTGCATATAGTAACACAACTAATCATAATTTCTTATCTTTTATTCTGAAATTAATTTAGCAAAGCTTAACATGCTATACTCTGGTTCTTTCTAAAATGTTTGGTGTCTTTTTCTTTAGTATTGGTGACTAGTTTAGCCAGTTCATGCTGTACTTGCACATAGTGACTCAACTGGTCCTAATTTAATATTTTTATTCTGAAATTAATTTTAGCAAATGTTAACATGCTATACTCTAGTTCTTTCAAAAATATTTGATGTCTTTTTCTGTAGTATTGGTTACTGAGGATAAACAATTCCCACAGAAAGAATCAAAGATCGATGATACAAAGTTATACAATATGTCTACTTAGGTAAAGCAGCTAGAAATTTCAAATTCTTTCTAGAATTGTTTTCCAGTCTGGGAAATCCTTGATGGATTGATTCAATTGTAAGGCATCAAACTATCAAGATAGGCTTAAGAAACTGGATATGCCGTATCGGGATACTATTTTCTATCTTACATTTCAGTTACTGTATTAGTGATTTATCAAAGAAGCACCTCTATAAAAGTAAATTGTTTCTGTATCATAAAGGACTGCAAGCTAGAATCAGACCAAAGCTAGCTTTCCAAAGCATAACTTTGAAAATGCAAAAGTATTCTAAAATACAGGAAGTATTTGTATTGATTTCAGCTGTCTCTGCACCGGTCATGGGTGTGATCAGCAGCTCTAGGTCAGTTAAATAAAATATAGTAATTTACATTGGAGCGGGTCCACCCTAATATACATAAATCTCAGTAAGCAAGAAGACAGTCTATGCACGGGTCCAAATTCTGTTCTCAGTTATATCAGTATAAATCATGATTAATTGCTCGAGTATTTGAACTGAAATCAGAATTGCAGAAATCACTCCATCTAAATGTGGTATCTAGGGTATGTGAAATTAGTGTAACAGATAATCAGACTTTACTGCTCTTAATTTCTGTTCAGGAATCAAATTAAATTTCTATTCATTCCATGTTTTTGCTTTATGTTTCTTTTACTTTCGGTGCATTAAGTGTTAGAGCATTTTTGATGCAGTCTATATATTGAGGTGGCTACTCTACTACATAGTTAACACTTAAAAAATAAGTAGAGAGCCCTTTCAGAAAAAAAAATATATAGGAATTCTACTTCATTTTTTTTTCATCACAGAAATAGTATTATTATTAATACATTAAATTAATCAAATGATTGTGCTAGTATTTCAGCAGTAAAAACTAGTCAGAAGAAATACTGTCCCATTCTCTTACTCAGTAAATAATCTTTTATCAGCTGGCATACATAGTAGAAAGGATTTCTGTAACATCATTCATACCCAGATCTGATTCTCTTCTAGAACTTGTGTAAATCCAGCATAACTGCATTACAGTCAAGGTTTCTACCACTGTTCAGATTTTACACTGAACAGTTTGTTAACTGTTAACTGAACAGACTGGTTGTGTGTTTCTAGTTCTCTAAAGTAAAAGAAGTTTATCTCATTTTAAAAGCCTATATCTATGCTATAACTTATTATCATTTTAGAGCATGTTTTGTCTTCAGTGCAGCTCAGTGTGATTAGTTCCATAAGAACAGGTTGATGCGGCCACACAATAGAAACATAAAAACAAGAATTGTAGAAAAAAAAAAAATCTGTACCATTGCTCTATACTTGTGCCTCTTCTGTAGATTTTTCTCTTGGTTGTTTCTTTTGAATACAAGGTTGGAAAAGTAAAAATATTATTCCCACCATGTATAGTAAGCCACATATGTAAAAAGAAAAATCATATTTTTGTGTGATGTCGTAGATCCAACCTGCAAAATAAGGACAAAATATATTCATTACAAAGATTGAGAACAGGAAAAAAATGCATGGGAATATATGAACAATATCTCACATTTCTCTCATAACATTTCAGCCAAATTGTTGCTTTTCTTGTGGCAAATAACAAAACAAAACTAACACGGGTGGTTTTCTCTAGATGTTATAAGTAGAAATGTATTAACAAAATCTGTTGTTTATTCACCACCGCCTAGAACTAGTAAAAAGATACCTAATCATTTAAGTATTATAGAAATCTTAAAATGGAACTTAGAGCGCTTTGTGTCGTCCGTGGTCCTAAGAAGTCGAGCAATGTTATCCCTAAAGCTATACATTTTTCAGATATCTCAGAATAATAAATCTGACTTGAAAAGGTATTTTGGAATCCTGTACCAATTACTTAATCTACTTCACTGTTGTCTTTGTAAAATACTTGACACTACTTCTGTGGCATCATTGTGCAAGCAAACACATTCCCATAGTTTTCTCAAGTTCTCAGATACAGATGAATAATTTTTCAAAAGATAAAATCTCAGTACCATGATAACTCTCTTTTCAACCTCAATTAGTTGGCAAATGTAAAACTACCTTAAAAATATTTCAGATAATTTTGAAAACACAAATTAGAAAAAATCCCTCATGCCCTGCTGGTTGCATTGTAATGTAATCTTGAAATCAGAGGCTTATTTTCCACCAAATAATTGCATCTTATTTGCTTCATTATATATACTTCATTATATATAGGAGACCAAATACAAAGATATGTTCAACATAGACTGAAGAATGCTTTACAAAGTGGATAAAAAAGTAAAGCATTACTGCTTTTCAATGGGTAATGAATGAGCTTTCTTCTAAATGATTTTAGCACATTCAGTGTCGCAAAGAGAAAGATGATTGTTGTGCTGCTAGTAGCTTTATTTCAGCAAAATGCCATTCCTTGCTAACCATGACCATAACCTCTAAGGCTTCTTAATGCCTTTTTGGGGGTTTGTTTGTTTATTTATTTATTTATTTATTTATTTATTTATTTATTTACAGATCCATAAAAGCTAGCCATACTCTGGCTATGTTATGGATAATCACTATGTTAATCTGTCCTGTACTTCCCCACCTCTCTGTATGGCTAAATTTATAATGAATGTTAGTTTCAACCTAGGTGACTTTAGTGATGACCTGACACATGCTTCTTTCATTCTGCTGTGGATGGCAGTAAGATATTACTGCCAAAAATAAATATTGCCCCAAAACAGATATTGCTAGCTGAAGGAAAGCCAAAGCTAGTTTAAGCTGAAAATAAGTTGAATCAACCCATCTATTGGCAGCTTAAAGTGGTGAAGCTCCAATCTAGTTTGCAGGTTTTTGTGGGTAATAATATGGTACAAATACCTGCCTACTCTGAAAACTGTCCTGACATCATTTCTTCATAAAGGCATAAGCATGTATGTGAATATATTGCATATACTCCACAAAACAGCTAATAGGTTAACCTGGCCTCATCTTTGAAAAATATATGATAATATTTTAAAGAAACATAGCACTGAAAGGATAGCTTGTAATACATATGGGTTATCTGCAAGGATAATGATTTGTCATGTGTGAATAGCCAGCAAATGTAATATGTTAGTATATCTGATGCAAAGATGGAGGCTACAGTTGTTACTGGAACAGGTGTGATTTTGTCAAATACATGTGTTTGTAAAGTAAGAAAGATCAATTATATAGACAGACAGGTGGTCATGTAATACAAACATCTCTTGGTTAGATAATTGAACTTTTTACCTGCAAAGGGTGGTCCAAGCAATGCAGATATTCCGTTGGCACAAATGATGATGCCATAAGCATTTGCAAGGTATTTAGTTCCAACTAAATCTTCAGTCACAACAGGCATTAGGGAAAAATAGCCACTAGAAAATCCTATTAGAGCACAAATCACAGCCAGACCAATGTATGTTTGCATTAATGGCAAAATAAGGATACAGGCGACCAGGGTAAAGTTAGCCATGAGGAAGACATTCCAAGTGCTGATGCAGGGTAAATCAGAGATAATGCCAAGGATCACTTTACCAAGGATATGAACAATGGCTATAATTGATGTCAAAGGAAATATGTTATTCTGTCTTGATAAATTGTACTGCTTGACTATTTCTGGAAGATGAATAAAGGGAATGACAAAGCTGCTATAGGCAAACAAAGCCCAAATTATAAAGGCCACAAACACTCTATTGGTAAACAGTGATGCAGCTCCAAAGTAGCTGGAGTACCATATTCGAAACCCCTTCCTGACTGTAACTGTCAGCTGGCTTACTCTCTTAAGAATGCACAGTCCATACATACAATTTCCACTTCTAGATTTACCTCCACTTTCTATGCGTTGAGCACTGTCAAGCACTTCTTCATTTGTTGCCTCTTCTTTTTTTTCCTGTTCCCCATTTAAGACTCCGTTAGATTTTACAGTCTCTGTGGAATGGGACAGAGCTTTTGCGTGATTAACTTCGCTATTATTTCTCAGAATACACTTTCCATTCACAACCTCTTTGGAAGAAAGTGGTCTCATGAGTGCCCCACAGACACAAAGGTTCAGGGCAATGGCTCCCTGGATGAACATTGCATTCCTCCATCCAAATTCCACACAAAGGTACTTCAGTAAAGCAGTCATTAAGAAAGCTCCAAACCCCGTTCCTGTTGTACTGAGTCCTTGTGCAAGTGCCCTTCTCTTCTGGAAGTACTGTCCCACCATGACCACTGCAGGTAGATAAACCATGCCACTTCCAACACCTAGGAAAGCAGAAGTTGCAATCAATCTCAACTTTCTGCCAGCAAGATAAATAGCAGCAGCACAGGTCACACTAGCAACAAACATAGTGGATTTATTGCTAACTTTTGTGCAAGTAAAAATAGTAAACTGAGGAATAGATAAACAAGGGTCATGCTAACTTTCATTTAGCATTTTCCAAAATCTTAAGATTCGCATTCTAGTGAGCTACAATACTGTTGTTGAACTGCTGGTGACCCATGAACACACTCACATGGACGTCTCTGCTCTGTTTGCTCCGTGAGCTCGATGCTCTTGCGGGCAGTGGGAGTAGGCAGCACTTGGCCCTATGACGGGACCTCCATGTTTAGCTTGCACAAGGCGGTCTTCTGGGCAGCAGTACCAAGTTCTCCACAGTGACTTGTCCAGGCCAGGACACAGGCCAGGTGGCTCCACAGCCCCTCCAGGCTGGAGGAGAGGTTGGGCTGGGGCAACACACACTGCCATGGGCCTGGCAGCCAGGGCAAGAGCTGGCAACAGGAGCCCTGCTGAGGGCACCTGCTTCAGGACAGGGAGCTCAAGGTGACAACATGTCTGAGGCTGGAGCATGGCAAGTGTGGGGACCACGAGGGACAGGATGGTGAAAGAGAGGACAGTGAAGGAGGGGACGGTGAGGGAAGAGGGGGGGTGAGAGAGAGGGCAATGAGGGAAGGGAAGATGGCTGGAAGCCTCTCAGAGATGGAGGCAACACCTCAGGTAGCCCTGGTTTTCTGCCCAGAATTACTCTGGCACCATTATCTCACTTTTCCATCTCATGTGGAAATTTACCTCAGATTTTTCCTGAAAACATAGATTTTTACCTTACTTTTCAAATTCTCTCTATATTCTCTGTCTCCCTATTCAGTTTAGTGCGGTATTCTTTTTATGAAAGCTGTGAGGGTTGAGCGTGCAGATTTCCGCCTGCCAAGTGGTCACATGTGTGTAAACACCATCACCGAGAGGGCGACGCAGCCTGGAATGGCTGTTCTTTGCCCTGGAATTTACAGTATGCTCCTTTAGAAAGGAAGTGACAGTCATAATTGTGAGCCTTGTTAGACTCAACTCCTGTCCATTCAGAGAGCTAGAAAAAAATTATAGATAGAAAATCGTCTGGATAATGTGAAATTCTGCTTAAGGTAGAGTTTGAGGGGATTGCAGGGTCTTGAAGCTATTACAAAAATTACAAACTTTTGTTGTTATTGTTGTTAATAACATGGATACTATGCTTCATTTGCAAGCAAAACTGGCCATATTATCTGTGGAGTGGATAATATTTTAAAACTCTTTGCGCTCAGTGTTTCTCAGGTAATAATGAAAGGCCAACATTTATTTTTATTATTTTTGAATCATATCTATTAATAGTTTCTTTTTCCAGAAAGGAACCATGAGTAATGAAAGACTACAGCAGGCTGCAAAATTCAATGAAACAGTTACTGCGACAGCTATTAAGCAGCAGTGTGACATAACCAGCAGCAGCAGTGTGACATAACCAACTAATGAAGTCCTCCAACAAATCCTTCAAAAGGAAATTATGTTACCTGTTTCTCCCACCTCCCTCTCACAGCCTGTAGCAGAATTAGTTATTATTTATTAGTGGTTATTGCTCTAATGTGAATACACTTTATTTGAGACTATGTATGGAAGAAGATTGCATGCATGCTCCTGATTCAAGCAGATCTAATCTACCAGCAAGGATTCAGAAAGGGATACAGACACAAGAACTTATTTTCAAAAATAAAGGCATCTATTTAGTAGATGAACATGCCTTTATTTTTGCAAAACATATGGTTACATCTTTTACAGTTTTTTTTATCAGCACATAGTTATCTCATTCTGATATTTCATTAATGTGCAGCAGCTCCTGTAGAAAATATTAGCTGTTTCTTTAAAAGACAAAGAGAGGAGTTAGCTATAGATACAGTTCCAAAGTATTTTATCATCTTTAATTTGTAGTTTTAAGAGCTCTGGTTACATTAATTTTTCTGTCATCTAATATATTTTCTTGGGAGAAGCTGATAAAAATATCATCTTCACCTGGTAGATTTTCATGACAACAAAAGCCATTGGGTCTGATCCACTGAGTAAATATAGAAGTTTTCTAGAAAGCTAACAGGCTGTAAAAAGTGTGAAAGAAAAGCTGGAATAATTCTACTGAAATGAAAGGTGTCTATTATGCCTGTAATTATAGGGGCATGCCAAATCACCTGAGAGCTGAATAAACTGGAAACAAAAGTTACATTCCATAATATATATATATATATATATTTAATTGGGAATAAAAATGATACAAGAATCAGTTTAACTTCTCTCTTTGCTTACCAGATGATCTTTTCTGAAAGGCATTAAAATAATTAAAAGATCTTTCAAATGTTAACACAGCTTACCAGCTGTCACTCCAAATGTAATGAATAGGTAGTGCACATTTGAGGCATAGGCACTCAGTATCCAACCGAGGGCATTAAGTATCCCTCCAATTATTGCTGTTTTGCGGCACCCACACATGCTAATGAATAAACCGATGAAAGGACCTATTAAATGACATGAGAAAAAAACAGAAAACTATTTAAATATCTATTTATACCCTTTGATAATTTTTCACATGAAGATTCTTACCTTGTTTCATGTTTTAAACAAAATGTCATACATAAGATTACTTAGGCAATTCAGTTTATTTTCCCTATTACTGCTCAAATTTGTGGAAAAAAAAAGTCAGTCAACAAAGTCCTTAGCAAGATCTAAATTCAAAATTGCTCTTTAATGATGGAGATGATGGAGCAATTTCAAAAGAAATTGCTTGGTTTGTTCATAACAAATATGGAAATGTCAAAAACATATTTGAGGGCTCTGAATGGCATATATTCTAAAAATCTATGCAGTTCTGAAATAAATTGTGCTGGAACATACCTACGATAAGTGTAATGCCCATGCTAAGGGAACTAACCCATGCTGTTAGGCCTCGACTTTGATTGAATTCCTCCAGCCATTCTATGTTGAGTACTCCAAGGGCCATTTGGGACCCCATGATAAGGATGTGCACAAGGAAAGAGGAAAGTACAATCATCCAAGCCCATCCTCCATCAATGTTTGGATTAGTCTGAGTTGATTTACTTCCATCTTTTGAGTTATCTCCAAAATCATATCCAATATCCTCTCGACTAGTATACATTTTCTCCACAGTATTCTGAAAAAAAATAAAATAGGATACCTTCAAAATGCATGTGAAACATTCAGATTTTGTAGTTTGGTGATAGTGAATAAGATTAATTGCATTTCACCATTGTTTTAGTGTGATACATAGTTGATTTCTTGATTTTCATTGTTCAAATGTTAAATGTTTAGAAAACTCTAATTTATGCATTTCTTTATGTTTCTTTTTATCATAGCTGTCTATGTAAGAATACTTAGGAGTTTACAGGAGGTTGCATCACTTCCGTTATCATATATTTTTACTTACTTGTGTATGGCTGAGCGCACTTACTCTTCATGGGTTGTCTATGGTGACAAAGTAAGGCCAGTCTTTATGCATGTATTTCCTTTATTGTATCACATCTGCTGTCCCAGCTGGATCATGTGCCTTTATGTTCAAGTTGATAAAGCTTAGGATAAACAGGGAGATGATGAATAGACAGGTAGATGAAGTTACCATATTATTTCAGAGGAAAATGGTTTTGAGATATATTTCTTCTTCAGTAGTGGAAGGATAAGAGTTGTGACAGAGAAGGATGAAGATTCTTGATTTTGAGAATGCTTATATAAATTACAAAGAAGGGATTGTTATTATCTCTCCATCAAGCTTTAAACTTGTTTAAGATTCCATTTGATAAAGAATTTGCTATTATGCCTTCAGCTTCCATAGTATCAATCCAAATAATCCTATTAAAATCAATGAATTATTTCAAATTAATACCAGTGCCTATCAAAATCAAACCAAGTGGCAGTTATGTGCATACATATTCAGAATCAGACCATAATACCTTAATTTTATTACTTTGATTTCTTTCCTTGTTACTACAATTGAAAATTACCATGCAATGTGAAAATAGTCTCAAAACAATATGTAAGCAATTTTTAATTGAGTAACATTGTAGAACCAAATTTTCCTTCAATCTCATTTATCCTGCAACATATTGAAATGTTACATGGCTGTGGAGCAGGACAGAGGTTTCTATGGAGACTAGAAATATAATGATACAAATTACCAGAGATGGTAATTTTTTCTCTTCTTTCGGTCTCTGGAGAAATAGAAAGAGCCATCAGCTTCACAACAATCAAAAGAGAGAACGAAACCAACAAAGAAATTAGAAGCAATGAAACAAAAATTCTATTTAGTCTTCTGGAAAATTCACTTATGAGGCATTGTGATTATTGAAGTAGCATTGAAATAAGAGAAAATAAAACCAATCATTAAATGCTTTTTTATTTTCAATAATAGATAACACATTAAATAGAAAACATATTATTCAAAATTAGCTACTGAAATGCTAGATAGGTAAAATTCAAATAACTTAATGAAAGAAATTTCACCTATGTCAGCAAGCAGTATCTTGGGGTAAAGAATAATTCACACAGCAGTACTAACCTCTGTTGAGGTTACCATCTACTGAGAGTCTATAATTTGGTGAACCCTTTTAACAGAAATCAGGTCTAACACAAGAAAAGGCAAGGCAAAGAAATAGTATTTTTTATTTTAGATTTAAGGGAACCCCAGAAGAGGTCACTTCTGTACTAACACATGAGGAATTTCCAGTAGAATAGTCTTTAAGTGTTCATTGAATACAGCTTTTGATGATGTCTAAGAAGAATTATTGAAAATAGATTTCAGTTGAGCTATGCCAGAATAAAGAAGGGATAAAGGACAACTCAGTGCAATCCTTTTCCGTTCCCAACTCTTGTTTAGATCTGAGTTCTGAATTCTTAGGATGCTGCAATGAAGCTAACTGGGTAACCAACAAGGGAAACTTAGGGAAAAAATCAGACTTTTTAAGGTGTGTCTGTGTGTCCAGGAGAAGGTTCATAGGGCTAACCTGGATTGTCCAGGAGAGAGGATCCTTCTACACATTTTCATCAATGGCTTAAGAGTGACAATCCTGGTAGCATCTCTCTAATTCCAGATTCCTTTGATAGGTACTGATGAAAACTCTTCAAAAAGCAGCAAAACTTCAAGATATCTGACAGCAAACTACTTTGCATGTTTTTTCCTGCTGTCTTCCTTTTAAATAAAAAGCCTTAAGAAATATTCTAATAATCAAGTTACCAAAAATTGTTTTAAGACCTCTTATGTATTCTTTGAGCCCTCAGAGGCTTGCCTCATGATAAAGGGTCAACTCTTCAATATTATAAATTGGCAGTTAATGGAATAATTCTATATTTGCATTCAATTTGTATTAATTGAAATTTGAGCTGTTGACTTTAAATACATATTAATATTGTACTTCTCAAGTTACCACCTTTCCAAACTATTTTGTTTCTTTCTTTTTGCTAGATAAACATAAAATGAAAGCCTTGAATTATTTCATACTGGGATGAAGATGGAGTCAGAGCTGATTAGCCAGAGCTACCATTTCTTTCACGAACAACACTGAAGAATTGCTCATATATGTAACCTGCCCACACGGGCTGCTAGGTAAGTTACCTCCCAGTTCAGTGTCCCATATTCCCTACTGCAGTACAGGCAATTACGTGGGGCTAAGGGCAGCTTGAACATCTCTGTTCCCCAGGAACACACTGGTCTGCCTCACACACTCATTTGCAACTACGGCGTGTTGTGCTTCTCGCATTGATTTTTCCTATGTGGGTGTTCATATGGGCTAAAGTATCACTAGCCCTAGCTTGGCGGTGCAGGAGAGAAGGGAGGTCTTGTTGGCACAGTGAGGACACGAGAACTGCACACACTGCACACTTGCCCATCACCGGGCATGGATGAGTCGTAACCCCACGTGAGCCACCCCGGGCCTGCTGAAAGGACCTGCTGGCTTCTCCTTTTCAAAGCAAATGAGAAGGGGGGTGATGAGCAGACAGCTTTTTACACCTTCTCCAGGGTGTCTGAGATAGGACTGTACATATGATGGGGAGAAGGGTGGCAGGAGGATATGTCAGAGCCATGAAATGGTACAGCCTTATTTTAGTACATAAAAAGAGAGCATGGGAAGAGCTTAATTAAAATTATATTTCATCTACCCTTTATAGGACTAATATACCAGAAGCCATATTCTCCACTGAGGCAGCTTATATGACTAATTATGGAGGCCCTGCCCACTCACAGAAGAGAAAAATACTAACTGCATAAAGGTAGTAAAGACAGGCATAAGCATGCTAATGAAATATAATGAGGGATAGTGGAATGAAAGAAAATTACAAGGTGTTAAACATAGTCTGCATAAGGTTAGCAAAAATGTATGATGGATATTACAGTATCTCCTAGATCATGAAATACAAAATTATGTAACAAAAAAAAAAAAAAAAAAAAAGGACTGTTCAGAGTTAGGATTAACTGTGGAGCCTCACCTTACTCTCTGCTGTTCTTCGCTGCTTATCTGTTCACCTGAATATTGATACTGAATACAAAATTATTCTTCTTTGGATAGGGAATAAATATTTTTATATATATATTATATTTTTAAAATAATTTGCATTTTAAATAATTAACACTGTGATCCAGAGATAGGACATTCATCTTTTTTAGAAAAACAGAGGAAGTACAAACTTAGTAACAGGATGGGCTAAGATTGATTAGATATAAATTAGCATCAGGCTTGCATCAGGTCCCACAAAGCTTGGGGAAATGTATGTGCTCTTCCTTTACACAGAATTCTTGCTTATTAGTAATTTTTTATGATTAATTTCCCACTAAGCTCACACATTCGTAGTCTGCAGGGAGGGTCATTTCCAATAACTGAACAAACTCTTGGCCACAAGCTGTAGCAATGATTGGATGTCTGGATCCTCTCCCCACCCTTGACTCACCACCCCAGGCTATAGTGCCAGGAGAAATGCACTTACCCACTTACCTCTGCTCCTCCCTGCTCTGCTCCGTTGTCTTTCCACACCACGGCACTGCCCACAGCACGATATCCTGAAGGCAGAGAAGCTCAGGGGCCTAGAGACTCTGCAATGAAAATGAGCAAACGTCTCGTTTGTGAAGCCACACACATTTCTCCCACTGTATGTGAAGCCACATACATTTCACTAGTAGTGAATCCCACCTACAGTAACTTGTTCGGATACAGCCCCTCACAAGAGACTGTACTTCAAGACAGGAGAGTCTGGTTTGTGTCTGGTTTCTTGTTGGGGTGTCTACAGGAGGACTAGAGGACTAGTTTTGGGGTTTTTTTTTCCCAGAAAGGCTGTTACACTGTGTGAGCACTCCCGGAAAACTGGCCCAAATGCTAGTGTCTACACAGACATTGAGCTTTTTTGAAAATCTGACTCATGGGAGGAGATGAGCTATTTTAGGGACAAATGCAAGTGCAATGAGTAGATCAAAGTTAGCAGCCAAGTTCCCTGTACCATCAATGGAGTTTAGACTGTCTTCCAGTGTGCAATTTTTGCCTGTGTGTTTGTCCTCCTTCCCCACAAATATCTAAATGGATAAGTTTACTGCTTCTAGCCTTTTTTATCTATCATCGTGTACCTTCCTGAACTGGAAAGAGCAAACAGGAATAGCAAAAGACAGGTTATAAGGGCCACCCTTCCCCTGCGTTTTTCCATATTCTCCTAAATCCAAAAAAAACTCTGAATTGTGAGTGACTCAGTACAGTTGTTGTCTAAAAGGTGCAGCTCCCATCAAATAACTGCTTATGCAGTTATTTGGGCTTCTTTGTGTTTAAGAGGGCTTTTAACACAGACCTTTCAGGAGGCTGCCTGCTCAGTGCAGGGGGCTGAGGGGAGAAGCACGAGCGAGCCCAGGGTCACAGATTCTGAGGTGTGAGGAACCATCCAGCTGAGCAGCCACATAAGCTCAGGTCTTACTCAGAATTTTTGCCAATTAGAACATTTTGTTGTTGAGCTGCAGTATCAGAAAAATGATTGATCTAAAATGCCCATGTGATAAAGAACTTGCATATTCTTTCTTTTCTGGCACTTGATCGCCTCAGTGGTAAATTGTACCTGAATGCCATTTCCGATGGCTAAATCATAAATGCTTTATAAATATTACTGAGTTTTGCTCCCGATTAAAGATACCACGTATACTCATTTGTCTTTGCAGACATGCATAGAAAAAATGCTTAAAACAGTTTATTTGGGATGTCTGAAATTCTGGCAGTGTGACGGCCGCTTGCTAATCCTTCAAGCGCCTCTTTCTGCAGTGACTTCCCTAGAACGGCGCACGTTGCTCCCCGCGGAGCCCCGGCGGGGCAGCCTGCGCCCAGCGCTGCACCCGCTCCCCGCACGAACCGCGGCCAGGGCAGCGCTGCCGGGCGGCCGCGTCCCTCCCGCTCCCGAGCCCGCCCCGGCAGACGGGATCCGCTGCCCGAGCCCCTCCGGCGCCTCCTTGGCGCCCCTCGGTGCGGAGCAGCGCGCGGGCGCGGTGCCGGTGCCGCGGGGTTCTCGGCGCCCCCGCCGCCGCAGGGCCGGTGCCGGTGCGCGGCGGAGCCTCCGTGCGGCGGCACCGGCGGCAGCGGCGGCAGCGCCGCCCGCCCTGCGCGCACAAAGGATGACCGCGAGTTACCTCGCTGCGGCGCCCGCCGCCCGCCTCCCCGCGCCGCGCCCGGGCCGCCGCGCCCCGCGCACTCACCGCGCCCCGCGCCTACGGCCCGCGGCCGCGCTCGCCCGGGCCGCCTGCCCGCGGCGCCGCCTCCGCCGCGCGCCGCAGGCTCTCCGTCCCGCGCCGCTTCCCCGCGCCCATGGCCGCGCTGCGGGCGCAGCTGCCCCGCGGGCGCTCCCGCCGTGCGGGGGGAGCTCGCGGCCGCACAGGTTGCCGCGGGAATTGCGCATCCCAGCGCGCCCCGTGGCGCGAGCCAATAAAAGCGGCCGCTGTCAGGATTTTCACAGGCACGGGTTGCAGCGCGTCCTATTAGCTTCGGGGAGACTGGGGGAGCCTCGTTACGTGGCAGAACCGCATAAAGAACGACGCGCGGAAGCTTCCTTGTAAAGGAGTTTATCAGCATGATATATGTTTCAATAAATATTCCTACCATAGCGGAAGAAAGCAGCTGTAGAAATATATTCCTAACTTTTCAAAGCAGTACTGCATCCTCAGCTGTACCTTTCTGAGTCAACTGCCCCATTCCCACAGAATCTAGTGAGGGATACATTCTCCAGCAGGAATATTGGAACTCTTGGAGTGAATTTATCCAGGCTGCAGTGATTGCATTGCAGAGAAGCAGCGTTAGACACCAGCTTCCCATTCCCCATACATCAAAGATGAGAAAAATCCTGGCATGATCTTGTTCCCCCTCCTATCGGGGGATGTCCAAGCACTTACTGTAAAGTCTAAGGCAAAACTTTCTGCTTTCTACTTGAAGCAGGACTACAGCCTGTTATTTAAGACCAGCCATGAGTTTGTGTATCCCTATCTTGAAAAACTTCAGGGATAGAGACCCCACAGCCTCTCTGCATAGCATGTTCCCGTGAAACACCATCTACACCCACCTTGTGGCCTCTGCACCTTGTTTTACTGCCTGCCACTACCAGTAAGAGTTTGGCTACATCATCTTGTGTAGCAGTAGACTGCTAGCACATCTCCTCTTATTTTCTTATTTTCCAGACTCACTGAGCCCACTTTCCTCAACATCTCCTCACAAATCCTGTCCCTTACCACCTCAGTAGCCCTCTGCTTGACCCTCTCCTGTTTCTTGACATCCTTCTTGAACTGGGAGCTTCAAACAGGACACGGTGTCACAGCTATGGGCTCAGTAGCATTGAATAAGGGATAATAGTTCCTATTTGCCTGCTGTCCATGTTTCCCTCCTAATTCAGCCCTGCTTATGGTCTGCTTCCTTCCCAGGGAAATGCCCTGTTGGCTGCCCGGGTGGTGCTTGGCGCTGCCCCACCGCTCAGGCAGAGCTTTGTGCTTCTTGTTGCTTTCTGCAGTTTCCCTTGACCCGATCATTAAGCTTTGTGTAGTCCTCTACCCTGGAGCTCAATAGCATTGCTTGTGAGAATCACCCTCATAATTCCATAGCGTCTGAAAATCTCCTGCAGGCCCTTCGGTCTTGTCACTGAAGCCATGGTGGAGGTAGTGAACAACACTGGTCCCAGTGCCGACCCCAGAGAGCTCTGCTTGCCCCTGGCCAGCAGATGTAAGTAATGGCCCCCAGTCCATTAACTGCTGCCCCTGAGGCCTGGCATCTGGCTGGTTTTGGGCCCATCGAGCAGTTCATTCAGGCAGACTAAAGCTCCTCAGCTTTTTACTCACCTGGCGCTTTAACCTTTTGCTTGCCCGGGTTGCTCAGAAGGATAGCTGTGCTGGAGAGCACACAGAGACTGCTTGCAGCCCTCTGGAAACGTGTCATGATGAAAATATAAATGCTGATTTAGCTTCAACACTACTGCTACAGTGCTGATTGCTCTCTTTCCTCAGGCTCTGCTCTGCTCCGCAAGTGAAATTGTTGTGCTGCAATTATTGATAAGGAAATAGATATTTGAAATAACAATGTGGCCACTGCAGCTTCAAGATACAGAAAAGATAAAGCATTTTTCTCTTGGATTTGTTGAAGATTTGTGCATAATGTCGTCTTTCCTACTGCATTTCTGAAGAGAACCCTTGGCATCCTTTGAGGACGTCCCGCAGGGTACCATGCTCAGGGGATACCCGGCAGGGCACGGACTCCTTCAGCAGTTCCCCCTCCTCCTCGGGCCAGCTGCGGTGCCTTCCTCCAGTGGGAAGACTACGAATTCTCTCCCTAGCTCCAAGTTCACCAGAGATGAAATGTAGATCCTGGGAATGGAATCCAAAAAGAAAGAAAAAGCAACATTTTATCATTGCTGGCATGGAGATGACTGTTCTGACATTAACTAGTTGTCTTCTCTCTTTCTTCCCTCCCCAAGAGTTTATGCACTACAGCAGCTACAGAAAAGGGAGTGAATAGGAGAGTGTCCCATTTAGACACTCCCTTGGGAGATTCTTCAGGGACATCATGTCCAAAAAATCTTGCCTGCATCCTGAGAAAGATATGGGAGAAAGCTTCCTGAAATACTTTAAAACACAAAAGGATGGTCCTCAGCAAACAGGGATGCTGAAAAGAGAAAAAAAAAATCCTGTCCTCAAGACAGGATGGCTTTTGATAAGATGTCATCAGATGCCTGGATTTGTACCAGAGATTCAGCAAAACTGAATATTGCCCTTCCAAATGTGAGAGATTGGGGCCATGTAAAGCAGGAGTGCAGCAAGAAAGGAAAAAAAGAAGCAGTGGGAAAAGGAACTGGAGGAGGACATTAGAGGGTTGGGTAGGAGTAGGTGATTTCTGCTTCTGAATCAGACTTTTGTCACCCACAGGCTTTTAAACCCTTCAGGAACAGCAAACTGCAGCAAGCCCAGGTCTCCAGAGTTCTATTGCAAATAAGGAAGGCAGTGGGAAATGGCTCTCGGGCTGCTCCTGAAAGTCCTGAAATCTCTGGTTCCGAAGTCCCAGCACGGGACAAATAAAGGCCGAGGCAACAGAACAGGGTCATCTGTGGTTTCCTCCAGGCTCCATCCACTTTTTGCCATGTGCCACAAGGCGAGTGTGGTGAGAGATGCCAGGACGTGTCCACACTAAGGCAACAGTTGGTGTCTAACTTGAGTGCCCAACTCTTAAAAGCTTTTTTTTGTGTGTGTGTGTCCAAGAAGACAAGTATCAGACAGCAATACAGTGTGCAATATGCTCTCAGCAAAGTTTTTAGAAATCACTTGATGTGCACATGACCTGCAGCCAGATGCTAGCATGGACATGCCTTGAAGCCCAGGGCATGTTCCTAGTTCCTTGTTCTGTAGGCGTTCTTTACTGAACTGAACTTTTTTACCTTGCTTTCTGTGAGGTGTTGTTTTTAGTTTCTTTTCAGTTTCAGCTCCATTCATTAGCGGTCAAAGATGTGCTTTGACTAGGTAAAATAAGCAATATGATAAAAAAAAAAAACTACTAGTTGAGAGTGCTATTGTAGCTATGGTTTTGCACATGCTGATAG